GGGGGGGGGGCACGGGGGGGTCACAGCGGCCCCCGGAGGGTTCCCCCGACGCGGGGGGGGCTCCCCGGTGCCCCCTCCCCACCATCCCACTCACCTGGGGCTCCCCGAAGAGCACCAGCACCTTCCCCAGGTCGTGCAGGAGCCCCACGAGGTGGAACCAGTCTGGGGGGCGAGCGGGGTCGTCACCCCCCGGGCCGGGACCCTGCGGGGGTGGGAGGGGACAGAGGTGGGGGGGGTGTGGCCGTACCTTTATCGGGGTGTGCCCGGCGGATCCCCTCGGCCGTCTGGAAGGCGTGGAAGGAGTTGGGGAAATCCACGTCGGGGTCCGACTCGTCCACCAGCTGGTCCAGCAGCTCCAGCGCCTCCATCACGCTCATCCTCCGCAGGGAGCACGGCCCGTACTGGGCTCTCTGGGGACACCCGGCTTTGGGGACACCCAGGCACCCCCCGGGGCCCCCCGTGGGGGTGGGTGCCCCACAGTGTCCCCCCCGAACGGGCTGGGACGGGGCACCGGGGCTGGATTTGGGGTGCAGGGTGGGAGGGCTGTGACACCCCCCTGCTGTGGGGACCCCGGGGGGACAGGCCGGCCCTGGGGGGGACAGAGTGACCCTGGGGGGGACACGGGGTGAGTGGGGGGCTCCCACCTTCCTGCGGACGAAGTCCACGGTCTGGTGTGTGTGCATGAGCAGGTACGTGTGGTACACGCGGTCGATCAGCTTCCCCTCCTGTGGGGCAGCAGGGGGGGGCACGGGGGAGTCAGGGGGGTCCGGGGAGCAAGGGGAGCCCCCCAGTGTCCCCCCACCCCAGCCTGGCATGGCAGAGACCCCCAGGGTTCTCCCAGCTGCTCCCAGCCTGGGGTGGGACCACCAGTGTGGCCACTGGGGACAAACAGGGACTCACTGTGGGACCCCTGGCACCCACAGGACCCCCAGCACTCACCTCACACCATAGGACCCCCGGGACCCTTATGCAGGCCCCCCCTGACACCCCACCCGGTTTTGGGCCCCCCCTGAGCCCCCCTCCCCAGGTGGGATCCCCTGGGACCCCCCGAACTCACGGTGTAGTTCCTGAACTCAGACTTGTCCTTGCCGGGTTTGGGCTCCTCAGAGGGGTCGGGGCCCTGAGGGGTGACAGGGGGGGCTCAGGGGTCCTGTCCTGTCCCTGGGGCAGGGGACAGGGACAGGCAGAGGGGACTCAGGGGTCCCATCCTGCCCTCTGGCCTCGGCACCGTGGGACAGGACAAGGGGTCAGGGACCGGCGGTCGGGGACAAGGGGACGGTCAGGGACAAGGGGACAGTGGCGCCGAGGGAAGCCCTGGACACACGGGGTCACCTGGTGCTGTGCGGGGTCACAGTGTCACACGGTGTCACACGGTGTCACACAGTGTCACACGGTGTCACACGGTGTCACACAGTGTCACAGTGTCACACAGTCACAGACCATCAGAGTCACAGTGTCCCACAAAATCACACACTGTCACACACTATCACAAACTCACATTGTCACACGTTATCACACACATTGTCCCACAAAATAACGCATTGTCACACACTATCACACACATTGTCACACAGAATCACACATTGTCACACACTGTCACACATTGTCACACATTCTCACACACTCTCACAGTGTCCCACACTGTGACACACTGACATTGTCACACAAAATCACACATTGTCACACACTGTCACATTGTCACACACTCTCACAGTGTCCCACACTGTCCCACACTGTTCCCCTGAGGCACAGAGGGGACCCAGGGGTGCTGCCCCTGATCCCGAGGTGGGTTCCAGCCCAGGGTGCCCCTGGGTGGGGGCAGCAGCTCTGCACTCTGTGGGGGTCCCCGCACGGCCCCAGGGGTGCTGCAGGACCCCTTCAGACCCTGCAGCCCCCCAGGGCTGGCACTGACCCCCCACCATTGCCTGGGGGGGAGAGAACAGCTCCCCATGTTCACGGGACCCCCCTCCCACTCGGGGGGTCACCCTTAGGGTGGGACCCCCTCGGGGTGGAGTCCCCTGGGTGTGGTGTCCCCCATGGCACTGGGACCCCCTCGGGGTGGTGTCCCCGTGGGGCAGGTCCCTCATGGGGTGACACCACCACTGCAGGGAGGACATCGCTGAGGGGTCTCCTCTGCCCCCCAGGTTTGGGGTGACACAGGTAGGTCTGTCCCACCCCCAAATGTGGGGTGACACACTGTGTCTTCCCCCCAGGATTGGGGTGCTGGGGCTGGCCCCAAATGTGGGGTGACACAGCCGTGTCTGCCTCCCAGGTAAGCGGCCCCGGCCCCCCCTGCCCGCACTCACCTCCTGGAGGCTCCTCATGGTGTCTCCGGGGGGGTTCACAGGCTGCTGGGAAGCCTCGGGACCCCCGGTTTTGTGCCGGGGGGCGGCGCGGGGGGGCCCCGCCCGGCCCGGCGGGGACAATCGGTGACCAGTTAACCCGCCCCGGTTAATGTTTGACCCCGCGCCCGCCTGGGGGGCTGCGGCTCCCCGGGGGGGGGGGAGGCTGGGGGACCCCCGGCCCGACCCCGAGCTGGGGACACCCTCCCCGAAATTGAGGACCCCCGGGGCTGGGCCCCCCCCGGCCCCGCTGCCCGCGGTGACCCCTCGGTGGGGGCACAGAGTGACCTCCGGGGACACTCCGGGGAGTGGAACCGGCCCCGCGGCCCCGGGGCCAAGGGGCACTTGGGGGGGGGGAGAACCGGGGGGGGGCAGCGGCCTGATGTGGCACCCACCACGTGGCCACGGGGACCCCGAGTGCCCCAGGGGCCATCGCGGGGGGCGGACACGGGCGTGACAGGGCACGGACACGGGGGTGTCCCCTCCGGGGCCCGCACGTGTGCGCGGGGGTGACACGGACACACTTGTGTGCGGGAGGGTGTTACTGTTCCCGCTGTCCCCACGCCTGTCCCCGCACCCTCGCGGGGTGCCGTCCCCCGCGCCCATCACCTCCTGCCCCCCCCAGGACCCCACCCCTGGCCACGGCAGCCCCTCGCCCGCCCCCCCCAGCGCCCCATCCCCCCCGGGAACACCGCGCTCCATTCCGGGCTCCTCCTCACTCGTTTTATTCCACACAGACCAGAATTCCCGGCGGGAAGCGGCGACCGCTCCGCGCGATGCGCGACACGATCGGGTCGGGCACCCGGGGGAGGGGGCGAGGGGCTGAGGGTCCCCACGCGCCCCTCGGGTCCCCCCCCCCCGCCCCTTCGCTGGAGCCTCCCGGGACACCCGTGGGAACGACGCGGCTCCGGGTGGGATCCTGCTCTGGGGGCCTCCCGCGACACCGAGGGGATCCCAACCCATCCCGTGACACCCGTGACACTCCAGGTGACCCCTCCATCCCAGGAACCTCGTGAGACCCCCTGTTCCAGACCCCCCCCGTGGCACCCCTGTCCCAGGGACGTCCTGGGAAATCCATGGGACACCCCATCCGGCCCTGGGGAGGGGGAGAGGGGGACCCAGGGCAGCCCCCCTGGGTATCACCCACACACCCACCCGGGACTGCTGAGGGCTGAGGGCTCCAGGGAATGGGGTGCTCTGGGGGATTGGGGGGGTTCCTGAGGGATTGGGGTATTCCTGAGGGATTAGGGGTGCTTGGGGGGGACTGGGGTGCTCCTGGGGGTTGGGTTGCTCTCAGGGGCCGGGTGTGCTCTGTGGTGGGGTTGGGGTGCCCCTGGGGGGCTGGCCGAGTTGCTCCCAGGATGGGGCTTTGGGACGGTGAGCTGGGGTCACACATCCCTGTCCCCCCAGGCCACAGGGTGCCACTGGGACCCTGGGGTGACACCAGCACTCCAGGGAGACAGAGATACCCGGGGTCCCCTCATGTCCGTGGGTCTCCACCCCGTGCCAGCACCCACTGAGCCCGTGGGGACACAAAGTGTCACCAGTGGGACAGGGGGTGTCACAGGGGGTGTCCCCGAGGTGAGCCAGGGGACCGGGGGGGTACAGGGCAGGGACAGGAGCAGCCATCTCACCCTGGGCGGGCCCGGGGATCCGGGGGGAGGACAAGGGTTGCCGGGGGTGCCCTGGGGGTGTCACGGGAGTGCCCTGGGGGTGTCACGGGGGGGGGTGTGTCCGTGCGTGCCGTGGCGGGCACTGGGTTGCTGAGTCGGCGGGACCGCGGCCGGGGAGAGCGTGGCCGGGGGGGTCTTGCACAAGGCGCCGGGGCTGCTGCGCTCAGCGGGATCCCCGGTGGCCCTTGGACCCGCCCCGGACGGACCGGCCACTGCCGGACACGGCGGGTCACCACGGGCCACCACCAGGGGCCACCCTGAGCCACCAAGAGTCACCATGGGCCACCACCAGTCACCGTGGGCCACTGCCGGGCACTGTGGGCCACGGCCGGCCACCACCGGTGACCTCGGTCACCACGGGCCACCATCAGTCAGCGACGGGCCACCTCGGGCCACCGCCAGCTCCTGCGGGCCGTCACAGCCCACCACGGACCACCGCTGGCCACCATCTCCCAGCCCCGGGGCCTCTCCGCTCCCCGGGGTCCGCTCAGGAGGTTCTCACCGCAGGAGCCCCCCGGGGACCCCCCCAGCCCCCGGCGTGGCCTCGGAGGGGCCCAGCCGCGCGTGCCCGTGGAAGCGCTTCAGTGGGGTCCCGCGGGGCAGGGCCGGGGGGGGCGCGGGGCCCCCTCCCCGCTCAGCCGTAGCTGTGGGGGCTGTTGGGGTTCATGGGGGACGAGTCCCGGCGCCCCGACTGGCCCCGCAGCTGCCACAGGCGGTGGCTCAGGTTCTGCACCTGGCAGGTGCCCAGCACGCAGCCCACCCGCACCGGGTGCCCCCCGGCGTGCCGCCGGGGACGGGGGTCCCGCCGGGGGTCCCGCCGTCGGTCGTGCCGCAGGAGGAGGCGCTGGACGCGCCACGGGGGCCGCCGGCGGGCGAGCAGTCTGTGCCGGGGGGCCGGGCGGGCACCGCGCCGGGGGGCGACCCACGGGCCGGGCCGGGGTCCCGGGGGTCGGTGCCGGGGGTCCGGGGGTCGGTGCCGCGGGGTCCCGGCGGGCGGCGGCAGCGGCAGCGCGGGGGGCTCGGGGCCGGGGGGGTCCCCGAGAAGAGAAGGGATCAGCTCCGGGGATCTCCGGGCCGGCGAGTCCCTGCAAGAGAGAAGGGGCAGCGTCGTGGGTTGGGGGGCAGCGCTGTGGCACCCGGGGAGGGGAGGGGGGCACCGGGACAGCGGGAGAACGGCGGGGGCATGGGGGCACCGCGTGTGCCCGGGGCTGCCAGAGGAGGAGGAGGAGGAGGAAGAAAGGGGGAGGAGGACGAGGAGGAGGAGGAGGAGAAGGAGGAGGAGGCAGCAGCAGCCAGGGCAGGGGAGCCGATACCTGCAGCCACACACGTACTGCCAGCGCGGGCACACGCGTGTGCCAACACACACACACTGTAACCACACAAACACACACGTGTCCCAGCACACACAAACTGTAACCCCCCACACACGCACACACACAAACTGTAACCCCACAAACACACACACACGTGTCCCAGCACACACACACACTC